TCAGAGGAGGGAGGCAGAGAGGCAGCTTGACTTCAGGGGAGAGTGACATGCCTTTTCCATCCCCTTTCCAGTTCCCCTCTCTGCTGAGAGCCCCTTTCTTTGCTCAATAAAATTCTCAACATTCACCATTCTTCAATTTATTCATGTGACCTCATTCTTCTTGGGCACTCACAAGAATTCGAGACTCACCAAATGTGGGTACCCAAAAAGGCTGTCACACTGGTCCTTTGCCCTCACTAGTGAAGGGCAGTTGCCCCACACAATGAAGCAAAAGGCCCACTGAGCTGATAACACACTGCTGTCTGTGGACAGCAGAGCTAAGAGTATTGCAACATGCCCTTTGAGGGCGGGCAGTCCCACCTGGATGCTGTCCCACTGAGTTTCCTCTGCTGGCTCCAAAATGGCTGACTGGTTCCTGAACTGGCTCACCTACTCGCGCCCTCTGGTGAGGGGTGGGCTGGAGTAACAGATTTGCTTCTGCCTGCACGGAAGCCAGAAGTGGCTGGCTGGTTCCTTCACTGGTTTGCTTGTGTGCTCCCTCTTGCAAGGAGTTAAGCATGGTCAGCTGAATAAAAGGGGCACCCTTCTCATGAGTCCTGTGAAGGGGTCAAGAAAAGATTCTGCCTCACTCTCACCCGCATCCCCTGGAGAGCATGTACCTCCCATGCTGATGCTGTCTTCAGAGCAGGAAGAGGGAAAGTGAATCCAGAGTCTTGGGTGATTTTAGCCTTTGGTCAGACCAAAGAGGCAATTTTGACAGATACAGCATTCTGTGGCAGGCACCGCTTCTTTCTCTAATTCGCATAACACTAAGAAAGCATTTCCCTCTACAAATGGAAGTAGGAAAAAGACAGATAATGGATCCACTGGCAGGGAGTGGCTGGCCTCCACACTACTGATTTTTCTAGCCATCAAGTTGTCTTAGGCCAAATGCAGTTAGCTGAGAAGTGGTAGTGGAGAGGGAAAGGGTCTGTTGTGTGCATATGTAATGCATGCCGCTAAGTTGATGAATCTTCTGGAAGGACTATTTGCTGTGGAAAATAGGCCAGGGTATGCAGGCCATCAACTGCATGGAAGCTTTCATTAGAAACAGGAATTCTGCACTCAATGTGGGCATCATGTCCTACCTGCCAACTCTGTGGGTTCCTGGCAAGGCCAGTGAACCAGGATCCCAAGGCAGCTATGCACAGTTTGAGAACAGTATTTTGTTGAGTCTTCACACAGAATACTTTCACTCTTTAACACCAGTTCTGAAATTGAGATGGGCCTTACAATTAGCAGTAGAATAGGCTTGATTCCAGGCAGAGGATGGAGCTCAGAAGCTGCGTCGTTGGTGTGAGGCCATGGACGTGCCACGCTTGTGACTGTGGACCAGCTCCCTCGTGTGGGCAGTGTTGCCGTTGGAGGGATGGTAGCTCAATTTTGTGCTCTTTACTTTTACCTCATCTGTTGTCACAAAACCCCATTATGCAATTATGCAGCTATACTTTGCTGTAAGTTAAAAATTATGTATCATACATAAAATTTATCTATTTTTATATAAAACAAAAGCTAGACTTCATGGAGGAAATTCCTTGCTGTGTGCCAGCAATGAGATCTCACGAAGCATCGTGCGCTTTGGAAATGAGTGAGGGGCACCTCATCACCCACCGAAAAGCAGAGTTTCCAAGTCAGGAACAACTCTCTGTTAAGAGGAGGGCTCATGTTGGAAGGAAACTCATATAATAGTCACACAGGTTAACTGGCTTAACCAAGTGGCAAATGGGCATGAGGCCCTGGCAATTTTGGTGTATGTTTTGAAATAATTTCTATGCATCTGTGACAGGGTTGTTTTGTTCATTTTATTTCAGATTCATGGAGTGTGTATGCGGGTTTGTTACCTGGGTAAATTGCATGTTGCTGAGGTTTGGGGTATGAATACGACCATGATACCATCACCCAGGCACTGAGCATAGTACCTGATAGGTAGTTTTCTTTTTTTTTCAACATTTATCTTAGGTGTAGGCTGGATTACGGAAAATAACTGGTGGGTACTATGCTTAGTACTTGGGTGACAAAATTACTTGTGCACGAAACCCCTGTACACACGTTTACCCATATAACAAACCTGCAGCAATGGGCACACGGAGGGGAACAACATGTAGGATGGGTTCAAATGATCAGGAGCAGGAGCAGGAGTTGCTAAAAATAAAAATAAAAGTGCACCACCTGTGGCGAGGGGAAAGGTCAGTGGGTCAGGGGCATTCCCAAATGATTCAAACTCCTTCTCAGGCCTCAGCTACCAGCAGAGGAAGGGTATTATTGTCAGTTACATGCACGTTTCAGTGTCATGCTTTCCTCCTCAATCTCAGAAAAGCTGATCATAGGAGGAGCTGGAGAGCTCTGGGGTCTCCTATTCCAGTCTTACGATACCTCATAATACAGAGCTTTGAGGTTTTGGAAACACACTGAGACACACTCTTCGAAACCTTCTGAGCCCTGATCAGTGGCACGTGGAGGATGCTGACCCAGGCAGCACAAGCCTGCTGGCAGCCTCTTTCCATGCAGCTCTGCAATTTCCGAAGAAAGAAATCTGCACACAGTGAGACTCGGGTGTATAATGCATTTGGGGGTCGAAAAATCAAAAGTCTTGTTTAAAAATGACCTATCGGCATTTGTGCAGAGGCTGTAGACTGGCACTGGGGGCTATGTGTCCCCTCGGCCCATCGGATCTTATTGATTTGTCTGGTCATTCAGCCTCTGGTTGTTCCCGCCCAGGGCTGGCAGCTTAGCAGGAGCAACAGTGGTGGATGTGGGGTGCACACTTGTGCAGGAAGGGGCTTCTAGGGCAAAAGGGAGATCCAAAAACCTCTACCCTCTCAGAGTAACCGATTCACAGACAAAGAAGATGAGATTGCTAACATTTTTATTCTTGTGATTTCATGAAGCAGGAACAAGTGCAGATGATTCTGCAGGCTTAGGACCCTGAACGAATCTCCACTGGGGATGCAGGTACACATTCCATCTGCATCCTTCAGGCAGGAGCCAGGAAATTCTCTGCCCTTTGGAAAATAAAATGTACAAACAAAAAGGTGCAAAAGCAAACAAACAAACAAACAGACAAAAAAGCAAAGACAAACCCTGCCCATGTTAAGGCTTTCAAATGCCAAATGGAAAGTGGGTTTTTCTTTGCAGCACCCTGCAGCCTCCTCCACGTGTCCAGAAGCTCTAGAGGAACTGCCTAGGCAGATTCTTGGCAGGTGGGATTTGTGGGCACCATGGTTCTCTTTTGCCCCTGGAAAGGGTAGGCTGTGGTGGGGAAAAGAATGTGTAGGTCCTCAGGCTCTTTGCTTTCTTGAGGAAAAAAATTACTCAGCCCACGTAATCTCATTTCAAGGAGTTGTTTTACAAGTGGGAAAATTGCACATACACCTAAATACATGATTGTTGAGGGTTTTTATAGATCCCCTTCACCACCAGGGGGCCCATAACTCCCAGTTAAGAATACCCCGAGAGAAAAGAAAACCAAACCAGATTTCCACAGTCACCACAGTTAACATTCTGCTTTTCCTTTCAGTCTTTCTCAAATGTTTATGGTTTCAAAAAGCCCTTTTCCATAAAAATTCTTCACAAACTCTTTTTGATGGCTACATAATACTCCATCTCTGAGCCATAGTTCACTTGGATTTTTAGGCTGTTCCCCTTTTTTGACCATTAGGAACAGCCCTCTTGTCATCACTGTGTGGATATAATTTTGTCTCTTTTTCATTTAATTTCCCTTGTATATATCTTTAGAAGTGGAATGACTAGGTCAGAGATTTAAATTATTTTTAGTTTCTGGATACCCATTGTTAAATTCTCATTTTCAGACATGCTGTCCCAGTTCACAATCTCAACAGCAGTAGAGTGAGTGGAGTGGGCATCCTGTGGCATCCTCGCTGTCATAGGCTGTTAGCATTTTCAACGTTTACAATTTTGTGGGTAAAACATGCCGTTCTAGTGTGGCTCAAATCTGAACTTCTTTAATGACTGTGAATGCAAACATTCATACAGGCACTTGTTTATACATTTGTATTTCTTCTTTTTTGAAGGTTCTGTCTCTTGTTTATTTTTTTTCTTTTTCTTTCTTTTTTTTTTGAGACAGGATCTTGCGCTGTTGCCCAGACTGGAGTGCAGTGGCACTATCTCAGCTTACGGCAATCTCTGCTTTCCTAGCTCAAGTGATTCTCTCATTTCAGCCTCCTGAGTAGCTGGGACGACAGGTGTGTTCCACCATGCCCAGCAGATTTTTGTATTTTTACTAGAGACAGGGTTTTGCCATGTTGGCCAGGCAGGTCTCGAACTTCTGGACTCAAGCAATCCTCCTGCCTCAGCCTCCCAAAGTCCTGGGATTACAGGTGTGAGCCACCACACTAGGTCTGTTTTTCTTTTTTTTTTTTCTGTTTGAAATATCTTCATTTCATTAATTTGAAATTTGGAGCAGGGTATGATCTTAACAGTCTAAACATTCAAGAGAGGGAGGTAAGAAAGCCAGTCACATTAGAATACCAAGTCCAAGCCACGCATCCTGAGGTCAGGACCGTGTTCTAGGTGTGAACTCACAGTGAGGACTACGAAGCAGGAGCGCGTGGCCTTCAGAGTTCGAATGTGTGTTTATGCGGGTGTGTAGCATGTGAATCGGACATTAAAAAAACAAAATCCCCCATCTGCCTAGTCAAAAATAAATGTAACATCTGAAAATCATAGGTAAGTTGAGCATCAGATGTGACACTAACTTACAGATTCCCACAACATGAAGAAGTGATGCTTTCATGTGCTGAACGTGGATAATGTGGAAAAACCGCAGTGTACACAGGGCTGTCATCAAACAGCGATGTGGGGACAGGATGAACGTTGGCAGTGTGGCTGCGGCTATGCAATCAGACTTGGATGAAGACAATACGAATACTTACCAGAGCCTGACAGTGAAAACAGAGATTAAACAATCAATCATTAAGGTGAAACATTCACCAGTGAGGTTTGTACAGCTTTGGAAAACAGTGACAGGAAGTCTCAACAGACCAGGGTGGACACGGGGCAGCAGGAGGTATCCTGGACCTGGGCTCTGCTTCCCGCTGACGGTGCAGCCAGTGTCTGTGATCAGCTTAACACACAGCTGCAACTCCCAGGCCTGGGCAGGCCCAGGGGGTGGCTATCCAGAAAGAACGGGAGGGGTCCAGGAGGCCAGTCCCTAGGCGATACATACATTTATAAGACAGTGATGGCTAGGGAGCAGCAGTCTTTTCTGGCTTGACTGCATTGTAATTGTGATCCCTCGCCCACGACGGTGTGCTGCTTTCACAAGCCGCTTCTTTCCCTAGTGCTTCGCTCTGAGAGGGGGCCACCACTGCCTTCTTCACGGTGGTCTCTTTTTTTTTCTGGAGCTGGTCTCTTGTGCACAGAAGAGATTTTAATGCCTGCCTGAACGATACATTTCAGGAGACTGGGCTTTTCTGCCTTCATCTTCATCTTTTCTTTAGGTTTCGGCTTCTGATCTTTACCTGAGCTAAGGAACTTCATTGTGGCCGTGGCGTGTTTGAGGATAGAGTCATTACTGCAGTACACAGAGTCTGGCTGCGCCACGTGACAGCACCCGGGGCCGATACATTTCGAGGCACCAGGCGCCTCTATCACAGGCTGGAAGATCGTGAGTTTCTTCTTGCCGCTTGGATTTGCAGCTTTCTCAATTCTACCCTTTATCCCCTGGTCTTCCCTACACTTTTGCTCGATCGTTCCCATACTTGTACAGTCTGTGCCATCAGCATCTCCAGGTCTGAATTTGGTTTCCTGCTGGTCTGTGGTTTCTGAATTCGTCTCATCCTGTACTTGCAGAATGGTGCAGTTTGGGCAGATGTAGTCTTTCCCATTCCTTTCCAAAAGCCTCCCTCGAGCCTCAGAAATGCCTACACAATCGCTATGAAACCATTCTTCACATCGGTCACAGCAAATCATAAACCTGTTGTTGTGGGGCTGGGGGCAAATGCAATACAGGGCGTTGGGGTCATAGCCCTCACATTCAGGCTTTGGTCTGCCCGTGTCTGCAGGCTCCTCATCTTTGACGCCCTGAGCCGCCTTTCCCTCCAACTTAGTCTCTCTGTCGTCTTTCCCAGCCTGGGACGCAACCCCCTCGTCATTCTCGGGCTCCTGCTTACTTGGCAGGATGCCCTCCACAGCATCACTGGCCTCGGAGCCCACAGTCGCAGCAGGGCCCTCTTCCTGGCGCTTCTTCCGCAGGCGACTCTGGATCCCTTTCAGGGGTCTCTCGGCGGGCTCCTGTTCCCGCTTCCTGCGAAGGCGATTCTGAAGTTCTTTCAAGGTCAGGCCATCACTGTCACTATCGGAGGTGTCATCCCCTCCTTTCGCCTTTTCGGAAGAGACCTTGTCTGTCACAGCTGTGGAAGCCGACTGGGAGCCGCTTCTGCTCTCAGAAGCGCTTTCCACGCTGCCCTCAGAGGCAGTCTCAGCGTCTGTGGCAGGGCAGCACGTGGGCTCACCAGAATCCTCCAGGGAGGCAGGTGTGTTCCTCCTGCCGCGGCGCCGCGCGATCGTCAGGAACTGCTCCACGCGCTCGGTGCGCTTCGGCTGCCTGCCACTGCGGCGCAGGGACACGCCCAGCTGCTGCTGTGGGGGCGGCGGCTCCAGTGGGTCAGCCTCCGCGTCCCCTGCTCCCTCTCGCTTGGCAGTAGTGGTCCTTCGAAAGCCCCATGTTTTCCTGAACTCCTTGCTGGTGGGCTTAATGGCCTTAGGGGCCTCCTCATTGCTCGGGTCACCTGTGTCATCCATACCCTTTCCAACACTGAAAGCTTGACACTTCCCTTGAAATCCTAAATACAAGAAAAAAACCCTGGCAGATGAAACCTCCTGGTCCAAGCAGACAGCCAGGCTCACAACACCAGTTGTCAGCCACTGTTCACAAGTAACAGGCTTCGTATTTTCAACAATTCAGATTATCTAGAGGCTGCTCCCGTGGAGTAAGCTCCTCTCCGCTCCTCCCCGCGGGCGGCCGCCTTGACTCCCACCCTCGAATCCGTTCCATCCGCGACCACTGAGTGCCCGCCGTGGCTGATGTCCGGCTCTGACCCGGCCCCTCTCGCCCGCTCGCTCGCTCCCTTCCGCGGCCGCCATCTTCCAGGCCTATTTTTCAATTAGGGTTTTCTCACCAATTTTTGAGCTCTTGAAATATTTTGAATATTAACCTTTCTCCTACTTGATGTAAACATTTCCCCTTTGCTTACTGCTCTATTTAATTTTGTTTATGGTAATTCCAGTTCTATTAGTTTTTTGCTGCTTTTTTTTTCGTGCAAAATCTCCTATCCCTATGCAAAGGAAGATAACTATTCACCTCATTTTTCTAATACTTTTATGATTTCAGATTTATAGTTTACCTTTTAATTCATTCTTTACCTTGATGTGTAACATGAAGTTAGACTAGAACACAAATTTTTTTTCCTGCAATGAGATTAATAATTTTCCTAGCAGCAAGTATTGACTAATCCATTATTACAGTTCAGTTTGTGATTTTTAAAATATGTTAAGTTACTATCTATAGAAGTATGTGGTGGGCAGAATTATAAGACACCCTTGAAGATTATGCACATCCTGGGACTATAAATTTTCACTTAATGTCCATTGTGACAAATGCTAGTCCTGTGATTAGGTTAGGTTGTGCAGCTTAGTTGACCTTAAGATGGGGAGACTGTCTGGTGGGCCAAACTAGTCACTCCAGCCCTTCTCTGCCTCCACTGGCCAGAAGACAGCAGAGAGCCTGTAGTCAGTCAGTGAGGAGACAGGTACCCCAGGCCCATGACTACTATGAACTGGATTCTGACACAAGAATAATGAGCTGGGAAGCAAATATTTCCCCAGACTTCAGATGAGGACTCAGCCTGTCAAAACCCTGATTTCATGCTTGTTTGACCCTGAGAAGAGAACCCAGCTATGCCATTGCAGAATTCTGAGCTATAGACCTGTGAGCTGAAGTGTTGTTTTAAACCCTAAGTGTGCGGTAATTTGTTACACGGCATTGAGAACTATTACACTTGCATATCCTGGTATATATACACCTGGTCTAACGTGTTCAAATTAAATGTGAAGAATACAAAGTGACTGCCAGTGGACAAACTGGGTGAAAGAAGTGGTTCCTTCCATGAGAGGGAGCAATGTGCCGTACTAGAAGGATATTAGCAAAACAGCATTTTTTCCAGAATTAGAAAAAGCACAGAAAGAGCTCTTGACACCCTTCAGCCGGATTCTCCAATTTTTCACATTTTACCATATTTGCCTCATCATTCCTTCTGTCTCTGTAGAGATGTAATTGTAAACACACACACACGTAGACATGCACACACATGTGCACACACACCAACATACAAACATGCACACAGAAACACACACACAAACACGCACACACCCACACAAAAGCACAAACACAGGCACACACAAACACATGCACACGCACGCACACACGCACACAAACGCACACACACACACGTGCACGCACACACATGCACACACAAACACACATGCACACACGAACACACAGACACGCACACACACACATGCACACACAAACACACACAAACACATTTTTTCAAATTCATACTTCTGACTTACACCAGTGTGTCGGTTTTTTCCACTCAGCCCTATTCTTGTTGTGGGTGAGCAGTGACTGTCTGGGCCAGTGGTACAGGGGTAAAAGAATTTGCCAAGACAGTTGTAGGCAAAGAAAGACAGATTTATTAGAGGAGGTAGGAAAATACATTGCAAAAAAGCAACAGGCAGAATCAGCAAGAGAGGAGCTGACTGCAAGGAGACAAAGGCTTGGTGGTCATTTTATAGAACAGTGTTTATGCTATATGCTGAAGAAGGGTTTGTGCAGTACTGATAATGCTGAGGTTGCAGTGAACTGGCTTGCAGGTATCAAGCGACAGCTGGACACAGGAAGATTGTGAGTTATTTGCACAGGAGGGTTATGTGCCCTAGACTAAGAAGAAAGGCAGATTTAGAGCTTATTTGTTTTCTTTTTTTTTTGTTTTCCCTTGGTCCCAGCAGGCTAACTGCTTTTCCTTGATCAGGACTCCATCATTCTGACACAAACTACCTGGAGTTAGCTGACCCCACAGGTTTAGGGGCTCAATTCCACAAGATAGCCCCCAGTTCAGATTCCAGTTGCAAGAACCAGATCCTCAGGTTGCCTACACTTCTGTCTAATGGAACTACAAAATTCAGGTTCCCACACCCCTACTCAGGTTTAATAACTTGCTAGAATGAGTCACAGAACTCAGAAAAGTGCTTCATTTAGTGTTACCAGTTAATTATAAAGGTTACAACTCAGGAGCAGCCTGAGGGAAGAGACACATAAAGCAAGGTATGGGGGAAGGGCGGGGAACTTCCATGCCCTGTCTGGGCACCTCACCCTCCCACTATCTCCATGTACTCACCAGCCCTGAAGCTTTCTGAACCCCATAATTTAGGGGTCTTTATGCAGGCTCAATTACATAGGCATGATTGATAAATCATTGGCCATTAGTGACTAACCCTCCAGCTTTTCTTTCCTCCTTAAAAGGTTAGGGGTAGGGACAGAAGCTCCAAGTTTCTAATGAAGGCTTGGTCTCTTTGGCCACTAGCTCCAATCCTCAAGCTATCTAGGGGCCACCAAGAGTTGCCTCATTAGAACAGAAGATGCTTCTGTCACTCAAGAAATTATAAGGTACTTAGAAGTCAGTTTCAGGAACCAGGGACAAAGACCAAATATTAAAATTTATCTCATCACAACCCCCCCCCACCCCTCTACATTTTTTTCTCCACAGTTTGAAGGTGAGATGCAGAGCTGATATCCTATTACCCCTTTGATATTTCAGTGTGTATTTCCTAAAAAGAAGAATATTTTCCTATATAACCATAGCACAACTTTTAAAAATCAGAAAGGTAACACAGATACAATACTATCATTTAATCCACAGACCACAGTCAAATATCACACATTATCCCATAATATTCCTTATAGACCTGGAATCTCATCAGAGCATATTTGCATTTTGTTGTCACATCTTCAGCTGGAACACTTCCTCTGTCCTTCCCTACTGTAATGACCTTGGCATCACTGAAGAGGACAGGTGAGGATGACCTGTGCCCAGCTGGGTCTCACACTACTGGCTTATGCAGGAGAGTCTCATGTCCCTGCATCTAATGGGTAGAAGTTAGTCACATTCCCATACCCCAGCTGCAAGGGAAGCTGAGCAAGGCATTCAGAAAAAAATCTGGATTCTTTTTTGAGAAGACTCACATTAGAGGACACTTAAGTATTCTTAGGCTGTCAGGCAGGCATGGATGGCAGATGTCTGAGATGTCTGCCACAGTTACCTGGATTGTCCGTTAAGATCAAGGAGGGCTCCATAGATTTTCATTTGCCTAACAACCACAAAAATTAATGTCTAGAAGAAAAATTAATGTCTTTCACTCCCAAAGGCCATTGAACATCTGGAAATTTTGCTAAAAGTCACAGCTGTAGTTACATGAACTTGTAGATGTACAAGAATATGGTGCTTTCGAGTAAAATGGATAAAGGTGCATGATTCTTCTCTGTGTTACATATTTTTATATTTGCATGTGAATATACAATTATCTCAAATTAAATTGTTTAACTAAAAAATAAAAAAAAAAGAACAAAGGCCAGGCTCAGTGGCTCATACCTGTAATTCCAGCACTTTGGGAGGACAAGGTGGGCAGATGACTTGAGGTCAGGAGTTAAAGACCAGCTGGTCAACATGGTGAAACCCTGCCTCTACTAAAAATACAAAAATTAGCTGGGCTTGGTGGCAGGCACCTATAATCCCAGCTACTTGGGAGGCTGAGGCAGGAGAATTGCTTGAACCCGGGAGGTGGAAGTTGCAGTGAGCTGAGATCATGCCATTGCACTCCAGCCTGGGTGACAGAGTGAGACTCTGTTAAGAAAAAAAAAAATAAAAAAAAAAAGGAAAAGAAAACAAAACACAGACCTGTTGACATGGGCTGAGGCAATTACGATAAAGAATGGAGAAAAGGTATGTTTTTAGCATATATCTCTGGAAATCCATCTCTGCTCTATTGACCCAGAGCCCAGCAAAGGATGTTCAAAGGAGCATGTGTTAGAGGTAGCAGGGCCCTTTGGGCATCTACTTCAGCAAACTGCTCTTCCTTGGAAAGGCCCCTCTGTTAACCCAAAATATACAGGTGAAGATGGGCAAAGGAGAAGAGACAGGTGCAGATGCCTGAGGTAGCTTATAGTCGGTGTGAACTCCTTCCTGGGCCAGATGCATGCTCCTTGTCTATGGAGGGCATTCCATTTGTTTTTGTTTTGTTTTGTTTTGAGACGGAGTTTCGCTCTTGTTACCCAGGCTGGAGTGCAATCGTGCGATCTCCGCTCACCGCAACCTCAGCCTTCTGGGTTCAAGCAATTCTCTTGCCTCAGCCTCCCGAGTAGCTGGGACTACAGGCACGCACCACCATGCCCAGCTAATTTTTTGTATTTTTAGTAGAGACGGGGTTTCATCTTGTTGACCAGGATGATCTCGATCTCTTGACCTCGTGATCCACCCACCTCGGCCTCCCAAAGTGCTGTGCTGGGATTACAGGCGTGAGCCACCGCGCCCGGCTGAGGGCGTTCCATTTGTGTTCTTCCGATGATCTTCTTGGGGATGGGCTTGCTAAATGCAGGGTAATGCAGACTCCAGTCATGACGTTCTGACTTCCTGGGCAAACTCTAGAACTTTGAAATGTCAGACAGGTGGAATAGTGAGTTTTATCATTACTATTTGTTAATTATGCTGCTTGAGTTTCTTGAGGCTACCATATGGAAACACTTTGTTTAAATTCTGGAGGTATATCACTAGATCTTATGTTTTTGTTGTTTGCTTTTTAATTTTTTTCTTGGATTCTTCCAGTTTTTATACATGGATAATGTTATTTGTGAATAGAATGATTTTACCTCTTCCTTTTCAGTCTGGATGTCT